GGCTTTAGCCAAAACTACTAAAATGTTGCCCTCAGAAAATACGAAGAAAGCCGCAGTTTTAATATGAATTAGAATTTGTGTTGCAATGAAGTTTGAGATTTAAATAATTTTGTAACTTTGTTTAATGATCAACATCAAAAATCATCAGTAACTACCACTATCCAATTATCATCATCTAACTATCATTATTCAACCATCATCATCCCATCACAATTGCTTGACTAACATCGTCCAACCATTATTGCCCAACTGCCATTGTCTAGCATCATCATAGTTTCGTCGTCCAACCATCATTTTTTTCTATCATTGACTGGTCGTTGTCATTTAACTACCATCGCATGATTATCATTATCCAACCAATATTGACCTACTACTATAATCTGATCGCTATATCAGATCACCATCATTTGCTTATCAACTTAAACACATACTACTTCTAGCCCTACTACACTTACAAAAGATCTTGCAAGTTCATGTACAATATTTTTTAATCCTACTTTCTCTAATTAAGTAGAGTAATTTTACTTCGTAATTTTAATAACAAAATTGATCATTTCATTTGGGTTGAACACCATGAACTTTTCTCTTCATTAGTTTTTTCTATGTAAAAACTTTGGCGCTTCTCATATTTTAATTTTATCTATTTGTGCGTAAAATTTTCTTGCAGAGTTAAAATGTAAAATTATAACTCTTCCATTATAAATTTTCTAGCACATAACATGTCTAAGAAAATCTCCATATGATTGAAAGAATGGCTCTTGAATATATAAGTGTGTGTGTGTGTGTGTGTCTGTTCTGATCTAGATTTATCTTTTGAATCACACCCAAGGGACAACATTAAGGACCCAGGAAGGAAAACAAATAAAAAGGGAAAGAGGGGAGACGAAGAGAGTGCACATGAACTTGGCCCTAAAGGCCAAAATGGAAAATTCTCGGGCACTTTGGCCTCTTTTATTTCATCAAATAAGAGGGTTACATAGAGAGGAATTTGAAAAGGAAGTCGCAAAATAGGAAAGGGTACTCTTATTTATACATGATAGGGGGATAAAAGGAAAAATTAAATGTTAATGGGTTAGTTCATGGCATTCTAATCTTTCTTCTGTCATAGCCAACCATTCGGAAGCTCATCAAACTGTAGAGCTAGCCTTCAGTTGGTTGGTCGGCGGGCTTAGGTGGTAGGTCAATCTGTGGGCTGGAGTTGGTTGGCTGCTCGGTTGACTATGGGTAGTTAGCTGTGGGTGGTTGGTTGGTCGACTGGTTGACCGTGGGTAGTCAACTGGTCGATTGGTCGACCGACTCTGGGTGCCCAACTGGCCGGTTGCTCTGCTGATTGTGGGTGGGCGGCTCGTCAACATGTTAGCTGACTTTGGGTCGTCGGTTGGTCGGCTGATTGTGGGTAGTCAGCTGGTCGGTCTGCTCTCCGGTACAGTTGAATCCAACCGAGAACTGAAATTTCATATCTTATACTATAAATTTAAAAAGAAAACAATTATATTGTAATTGCAAGAAAGCGTGGGTCAGCATGAATTTTAAATCTTTAACTACAATGCAATTTCATATATAAATTTAAGCAAATGTAAATCTCATCTACAAGTATGAAACAAGCCTAGCAGGAAAGGGAAGAAATAGATAAAAAGAGAACTCGATAGATAACCTCTAAGATTTTATAAGGTCTACGTCAAAAATTATAATTTGATGTGATACAAGTTAATTATAATGTGCCAAACTTATGTCGTAACCATCTATAATGATAATTGGGTTAATGCTACAAAAGTGGATACATAAAAGAATGCATAAGATAACAGTGCTAACTAAAAATATATATCTAAGCTTAACAAACATGTGCTAATCTAATTACAAAAATTGCTCTTGATGTGCTAAAGATTGGTAGAATTTAGTCGAGCTTAACCAATGAATACAATGCCCACGTGCAAGTCTTCACGATAATTGATGAATTCATTATCGAATTCATCATATATATTGGAAACCGTAAATTTGTGACTGCATAATTCTATTACTTGATAGCTTAATTAATTCTCGTTCATAAGAGTATTGTGGCTTTCAAGAGCGGACTCATGTAGGTTCCAAGGGGACAAAAAATTGAGATTTTTATTTATATGGGAGCGCAATTTGATCTGTTCCTTCTGAAATATTAGTTTGACCTCTCCTGAAATATTATTTTCCCCTTTATTGCCCTGATCACTCAAAAGAGAGTCGATTCAACCCCTAGTGATTTCTCTGACTTAATTGCTCTCCCAATGACATTGGTGTACACCTAATGAGCGGGCAGTCAATTACCTTCACCTTGCACTCAAAATAGATATTACACACACACACACACACACACATATATATTATTTTTTATAATTTTAATAAGAATGTTCTCATCAAACCTTTTTTCTTACTTGGGAAAGCCGCATATTATACATCCAAGTATATGGAATATTTACAACATGAACTTGCTCAAGTTAGCCCACAACTAAACATAATTTGTTGAACTCATGGTAAGCTTGTCAATTGAAATAATAGTGAACTCACATGACATATGGCAAACTTGCTTAAAGAATGATAAACTAGCCAAGGGACAACGAACTTATTGAATTGATAATGCTCATGCATGATTGCCCAAGTTCAAGAAATAATTAGTACTTTCTCTAATTCTCTTAATAAATTAGTGACTTTCTTTTACATGTTTTAGAAAATCTCCATGTTAGGAGAATTGTGCTAATAATATATTTTGAGCTTATTAATATTCTATATAGATAATTAAAATAATTAAGATGTTTGCTCCTATAGTAAATATTGTAGGTTTTGCTTCTAAATTTAGTGATTAAACCATGTTTTTTTATACTTTTTTGAATTAGATGAGCAGGAAAAAAGCATAAATCTCAAAGTTCTAATTTATTTTAAAATGTCATATAGCAATAAAATAATAAATTATAGAAGATAACATTTTTTAAAAATAGAAGCTATTTAAATAAAGACTATCAACAATAATCTTATAATTTTAAGGTTTTATACAATATACTTTATTATTATTTCTATTTCTCTAAATGATTAAGTGTCCAAGCGCTCCTAAAATTCTGGTCACCTTGGATGGCTCTAGTTCTCAAGTTTAGAGCTTTCCATGGCTAGAAATCATTGGAATGAATCTAATGTATTCAAAGTTTATTTTAAACAAACTATTCTTCATTTAAACCTAAATAAATATTAAATTGCATTGAAAGTATCAAACTACTAAAATAAACATGAACGATAAAATCTATGAAATAAAAAATAAAAGAAGCCCTTATTCGTTTTTTGTCACTTAATCTCAAGAGTTGTATCGATTATAATATTTAAAAGTGATTTTAGTATGCATCATAGTCTTAATACATAATTTAAATTATTCTCTATCGTGATATTGTTAGGTGAAAGAAAGAAAAACTCTAAATTCTAAAGAGCTTGATCGTCTTCAGATTGTAATTATCAATTTGGATAATTTTGGGGGCATATTTAGGCAACAAATGTATGATTTCTGCGTTTGAACGATTGATGCCATACAAGCAGCTAATAGAACTTGACCATATTTTATATATATATATATATATATCCTCTTAAGACAATTACAAGAGAAGGAAAATATTAAAATTGTGTATAAGAGAAGGAAAATATTAAAAATGTGTATACACAATAGGTGGAATGCATTAACCCTCTAAAATACTAGTTGGACTGATAAGTGATGGAGAGAGAGAGAGAGAGCCCTTAGTATTTATGAAAACTTACTAGCTTCATCATAAGCATGTGCTATTGATTTCACCGAGGTTGAGTCCACCACATTTTAAGATTCTACTTATGAATTATTGGCTTTCCTGCTTGAGCTATATATTCCTACTTATTGTTCATCATGGTTGATTGGATTGAAATCATTAAGATTAGTTTAAGCATTACATAATAGGTTATATTGAGATGTAAATCTGTCATGAGGTTAAGGTTAAGAATGTTTTTCTATTAAGAGCTTTGTGGCAACATATTTGCTCTCAAATTAAGTTAAAAAGAAATTGTATACTTATACTTTTTTCCTTATATAATTCTAGCAACTCACTTGAGGCTATCACGCCTATTGTATTTGGATATCTAACTACATCTCAACTAACAAGACTATGTCACACTGCTAAATATGCCCAAATAGAATCAGATATTTTCGACGCTAATCAAGTTATTTTCCGACAGAGTTAAATTAACGTCTGATTAGTGTCGATTTTTTTAACATTAAAACGGGCTCCACTAATTGATTTTGCGTTGACATTAAATTTGGATTTTAATTTGCATCCAAATTAGCGTTGAAAAACATCCGTGCTAAAAAATTTCATTGAATATACGGGTGACACTGGCTTAACTACGCAATAGCGTCATATATGTCGGGCGCTAATTAGTGTCGGACATGTTCGACACTAATTAGCGCCGACTGTTTGGCTATTGTGTCGACTTAGCGGCGGCAAATAACGAATGTTAAATGTTGGCTTTCGTGTCGGAATATTCCGACGCTAATCTAACTAAAACCTGTGAAAAACAAAACAAAAAAACTGCAAATCAATTAAATTTCCCTATACATGCACATAACAAACACAATTAACATAATAGGATATTTATCTATCATCACAATTTATGAAAGAAATGTACAATGTATCTACATAATAATATCAATTTAGATTAAATATAAATGGATTAAAGTGTACAGAAACTGAAAGTTCGCACAATACATAAAGGAAAAAAAAACATAAAGTCAACCCTTATGTAGAGGGAACATCATCAGCTACAAAAAAAAACATAATCTTCCTCCTCATCATCCTCCTGCTCCTCCTCCTCATCCTCCTCGACTGGACGCATGTACCGCTTATTCCGTCGATCAAAACTCTACGACAGGCGTGCTATAGACAATCTGCAATGAGTTGTCGACCTTCACACACCTGTCAAAGCTCTTCATTCAGCATCATCGCCCGCCTGACAAACCCTTCATGCTAAGACTGCAACGAGCTAGGGCCATCCATAGCTGCACGAGAACGCTCAGTCTCATATGTCATCCTCTTTGCTCCAAGGCCGCACGCTCTCCCCTTCTTCATCCCTGTCGCCTGCGTTCACAGTTCAAAATTGGACTAAGCAGTGGTAGACTGACTACCACTACTGGCGGACGGCGAGGTCTAGCTAGCCATCTTCTACTGTCTCTCTCGAAGTTGCTCATACTCCTGCATAACAAAATTCAAATAGTAATTGAAATTTTAAACATTAATTGACATATTAATAGAATTAAATTTTTAAAACTTACATTGACATACCGAGAGTTGTCGAATTTCCATTACTATGTGTCATTTCACCGATGTGCAAGGACATGCAACTCTGTGGTGGATGGCTCTCTATCAAGCTCCTTAGCCTTCTTATTATATCAGATAATTACATGAGCACATAATTACATAAATATGTAAGCTTATGGCTTTTGATGTATTCTTGATAGCCTCTAGTAATGCTCCATGTGGGGGATCGAATAGCTAATTTGAATTGATGGCCCTCTGGCTCCCTCCATCGTCTGGTTCTACTGATTTATCTGTCTTTTCCTCTGGTACTCTAGAAAGGCCCATGGTTGGCTTAACCAACTCAAACTTCCTCAATCCATGTGGATCTCTGCCCCTTCTTTCACGTTGTTGTTAACATATCCCCAAGCCTATGTCTAGCACGAACCTAACAAATTTGTCTTATTTGATGGTGATGTTTTGACAACCAATAAAATAACTTGCAAATTAGAAAATATGTAAGTTTGATTAACATATAAAAAAAAGTAGAAATTAACTTTATATTTAAAGCAAGAAGTATAGTAAGGCAATCAAAAGTGTTAATGGATTACTATACCGTAATTAACAAGGATAGTTTTGGTCCACCTCAGCTATAATTTTTGCATTTACGTCTCAGGCTCCTGATTATCCCTTTGTATGTTTTCCTTTATTACTCATCTAAGTGATTAAAAGTCCGAACCAAGCCATTTAAGAATTTCCCTTCTACTTGGTAGGGCATCATAATGGTGGTGGCCGGTCACCAAAGTGATGCTAGCAATTATAACCATCTCAAAATAGGTGATATGGAGTGGAGTTTGTCCATCTTGTGCCAAAATGCTCCATATATTTTTATTATTTACCTTTTTAATTTAAGGAGATGTAATGTAATTATAATTAAGATTGATTGACAAAATAGGTTGAGTTTGCTCATATTTTGTCAAATAGTGGGCATGTGCAAATTTGTAGTACATTATCCTAGTGGATCTTGACCGAAAATTGGTCTGAGCTCAAGTTAGGGTGTTTTGAACTCATGTGCGTCGCATACTCAGATCTGTTGATCAGACATCTGCTTGTCAGTTATAAGTCCTCTCTGGTCTTGGGGTCGAATCCCCCCGAGTGTAAGGTGTGGTGCTCAAATTCTTGGACACATAAGGAATGACCAGTGATCGTATAATAGTCTCTGCCCATATATATATATATATATATATATGGTAATTTTAGTTGTACAAGATATCTGCCAGATTTTGTTTTTTAGATTGCAATAATATACAATAATTAAAAAGCAGACTATGTCGCATCATATTATCAGTCAAATATATTGAAGTTAATAATTGTTACGCATGCATGACTTGCACACAAGTTGAGTTTATCATTATGGGCAGTAGCATACTATGCTTGCATTATTTATATTGTGATCATTGCAATTTACATGCCATGCCACCTAATGAAATCTACCTAACTTCACATTATTTACCATATCCTATCTCAAGCGCTGCCTGATATAACTAACCTTTGACAAAAATAAAGTAATATTCTTAACCTATTTTTGTCTCTACAACTTTGTTGGTTCATTCGTTAGTGAAATAAACATTTGATTGAATAAATTTATTTAATGATTTTTTTTTTTTTCTGTAGATAAGCATTCTTAATTTATACCATTCCCCGCAAATTATTAGCGTTGGCAAAATTAAAAAATTTAAATTAAATCTTATTTGAAAGATTTACATACATGCCATCCCTTACTGTGTATTTACATCTCTAATCCATAAATTTTAAATTTTTATACATAGATTATCTAACCTATGCTTTAAAAGTGCATTTCACTATCTAAAATAGTGATACTGTTGAAATGACATGAAAGATTTGAAGGTATAAATGTAAAAGCAAAAATTAGGTGTTAGATATATATAGATTCATCTGAATCGGGTGGCACGTAAGTAATAATGCAAATGTCCCTGTCCCGTCTAAATTAAACTTTCTTTGAGAGACCGTTTATTTTTTATTCAAGGAATATCATTTTTGTATCAGAATACGCCAGTTGTGAATAAATACTCGATGAACATTATGGAAGATTTCACAAATTATTTTGTCATGAACTGGATTCTGATTATGATGGCAGTTTGTGGTGGTGTCATGATTACAACTAACAAAGCTTGTCAATATGGCAAATGAATGGTAATTATTAGTGCTTTCTTTCACTTTATGTTTAGGATGATCAGGGCTTCAAATGGATAGAAACAAGCCGAATTGATTAGGAGCATGGTCAAGATTAAGCTTATTTGTCAAAATCTTATTCTAGCTTGAACTTAGGATTCATTCGAAATATTTATAGTAACTTCTAAGCTTCAAATTGTGATTGTTGAAATTTAGTTTGAGCTCGGCTTATCAAACTAGTCTTATGAGCCTAATACTGAGTAACATAATCAGAAAAGGGAAATAATAGGAGCCATTAAAAATTATTTCCTCTTTTGTGTTATTTTATAAAAAGAAAATAATATTTATTTAAAAATAATTTAGATTTTTCCCAAAAAAATTGTTTTATTCTCCTCTTTCAAGCTTATAAATAGCCTTCTTTGTGTGCTATGGAGGGCACAGCTCTTCTCCTTCTTATTTATATTCCAGATGACAAAGTCAGGATCTTTTCTTGCAAACTGAAAGGAATGGCTGCAAACAATAACATATTTCTTAAGCTAATAATAAATAATATAAATATAGAGTCTTAAGTGGGTAAAATTTAGGCAATTGGGATATGCATTTAGCCATAAATGAGTTTTCTAATTATAATATTATTTCTTAAATTACAAAGTAATCTTCATTTGAATTAATCTATTGACAGTGTTGATATTCCACTCATGAATTTTTTTTACTCTGTATTTATATTAGTCGTTGACTGTCAACACGAACCTTAAGAAAAAAGAAATTTACATATGCAGCACACAATTTTTATGTGTGTACATCTCAAATTTAAACTATCTTATTTACATACATAGTATTGGTGCTTTAAATTTATTCATGATAAAATATATTTTATTTTTATAAAAGTGATAATAATGTTATTTTTGTTGTGATATTAAAGATTTGATTGCTACGTGTGTAAATATAAAAGCTTAGGTGTGGGATAAATAAATAAATAAGAATTGTGAGGTATGAATGTAAATGACTCATAATATAAAGATGATGGATATCTAATGATAAGTAATAGAGCTAATAGAAAGACGGCCAAATATAAAAAGCTGCATTTCAAAGCTCAAGACCTCTCTAAATTTGTTAGTGAAAATTAGACCGAATTCATCCTTTACAGAATTACCAACTGACAAACATACAAGTCATATACCCAATAACAAAGAAATCTTACCATTCTAAAGGGATATTTTATATGAGAATTTACAGATTATTCTTAAATCTATAGAAGAACTTGTGCTCATATTAAATAATACTGGTGGATACATGAATATGTAGCACACCCAGGGATGGTTGGGGCTCATCTAATCTATATATATATATATATATATATATATATGACATAAGAAGGCATCAAATCTAAATTAGTTCAAGGCAGTTTGAAATATAACTTATTTTAGTTATATATTAATGTGTTTCTTATATGATAAAATCCATTTCTGCTGGAACAATATATAATTAAAAGTTTCTAGGAAAAAAAATTAGAATAGCATTTAAAAAAATTTTATTTAAATCAATTTACAAAAAAAAAAAAAAAAATTCAATCAAGTAGTTTTACGACTTGCACATAAAATTCAAAATAAAATTTGTAGGAAGCCAACAAAATCAGCAAAGGGAGCAACATGAGAGATTTGCATACATACCATTGATCAATTCATATATATTTACATGTCTAATTCCTAAACTTTCATTTTTTACATACATATCACATAAATGTTTTACATGGCTGTATAATGAGGTAGTTGCAGTTTTGAAATATAAACAAGAGTATAAGGTGACATTTGGATGAACAACAACGAGATAAAGAAGCTACAACTAAATTAGCACAAGTAAATAAGTGGTAGGAGAAGCATGTGAAAGTATCCAAAGTTGATGAGTGGCATTGGCCCAAAGAACACATCATATAAACTGAAGAAAGGTAATTTTGGAAAAAAATATAACACAAAAACTTGTATTTAATTGTTTTTTTTTTTTTTTCATTCATCCCCTTACATGCATAAGTTATATAATTAAATAACTCCCTACGGAAAACAAGAATCAATAAATTAAAAATATGTATGTTTATTAACATACATAAATCAACATTCAAATGTCAAAATTTGCTCCATCACTGACAAAAAGAAAAGGATAATGCAAACATATTAGAAATCCCTTGACTAAAACTGCAAAAACAAATCCCGACATATTTTCCTCAGGTTCTGTAATTTTCTCATGAAGCGGAGCAATCAGACCTCTTTGTAAGAAAAGTACTATAACGGTCCAATAAAAGACAACATCATTGAATAGTGAAGATATTCCGAGTAGTGCAAATGTAAAGTCACTTGATCGAGCAACGTCCTACAGTAGTTGTTAAAATATGACAAAACTCGAGTAAGTTAAGTGTTGTCCGCTTATTTTTTATTATTATTATTATTATTATTATATATATTTATATATATATATATATATATATATATA